ATATATATATATATATATATATATATATATATTGGTATATTACTTTTCATGATGAACCCAGGCATGTTGCAATCAGTATATGAATACGTATACCTCCCTCGTATGTTATAACGTCTGTTGATGTATTCCAAATTCCAATTCATATTTACTTGTAAAGACAAGTCTTAGAATGCAAATGCCTAAATAAGAAAAATTCTTATAATTTTTAAGATTTTTTTTTATAAAGATAGGAAAGATTAAAAAGATAGTGCAATGAAGATTGAACCTAGATTTTTATGTTTTTAATTACTTTCTACTCCTCCTCACTCAACTACTAGACTAACTCTAGTAATTATTTTTAACATGTTTTTATCTATTATTTATTATGATAACTGCACAATCATTTTTTTAGTGAAAGATATTTCAATAATTTTATTTTATTAATTTAAATAAAATATTATTTTCTAAAAATAAATTACATCATAATCACTTTATAATTTTCTCATCTCACAACATTATTATAATTCTTTTACTAATTTTATATAAGTTTAGTATATTATTTCACAGTTTTTTTTTTAATTTTAATTAAATCTCTAAATTAAAAAAATCATAATTAAGTTTTTATCATTTTATATGTTTGTAATTTAGTTTCCATTGTTAGAACTTTATTTATAATTTGTGAGATTTTATAAAATATTTTTAATATTTGTAATCATATTAAATTATTATTTCATGTCATTATCTATATACATCAAAAATACTTTAGTGAAATTTTATGGATTCTAATCATATTTTCAACTATAGAAATTAAATTATAAAAATATAAAAATAAATTATTTAACTATTGAGAGATCAAATTAAGTAAACCTTTTATAAAAGTGGGCGTGGTGTACGAAGGAGGAAGAAGAGAGATAAAAATAAAAATAATGAGGAGAACAAGTAATATTGAAATACATAATATGAGTGATATGATGAAAAAATAAATTAAAGTGAAAAAGAAATAGAAGTAAAAGTAAATATATGATTATATTTATTGAAAAATTAATAACGTTTACACGTACGTGCACTCCGTGTGTTTCATGAGTTGAATAATCTTGTTTCCCGTTGTAAATTGTAAAACTTTTACACGTGCACTTTCGGTTTGAATCATAAAACTATCCGCAAAAAGAGATTTTTAAACATTGTTTATGGTGAGAAAAAAAATGGTGAGCCTGGAGAGATGCAAATTTGGTGTCATTTGACCTGAGAAAACAAGTGTTTTCTCATCTTTAGATAGCTCGTTTGATAACATGATAAACACTCTCAATTCGATATTCTCGCCGTATAAATAGGGTATGGTTTTTTATGGTAAAGTTAAATAGATTATCCCAAAAACCAGTGAGTGCATGTGTCAATCCATGGAGTTACAGGGTATGATTTAAATTCATGTGTATATGGAGTCTAATTACAGGGATATTGTTGAATAATAACATAAAATTCGCCGCTTACTTATGTACTTAGTGGAGAATGGAGATCTTCTAAAAAGGATGTTAAATTATTTCAAAAAATAACAAGTTAATCGATCTACTTAACATTGAAATTATAGAAACTGCCACACTTGATTTATTTTCTATACTATAATATTTTTGTGGCTGTATGTTAGTGTGTGATATGAAATAGAAATAATATGGGTGTATATCGAGAAGCAGGTTCTATAGTTTGAGGGTTGTGTTATGTAAATCAATTAACTTGTTAATTACTTTATCCAATAGTTCATCCTTCTACTTTAGAAAATCTCCACTCTTATTAACGTGGCATACTTTAAAGTTAATTTTTGTGTTGAATTCTTAAGATAGTTATGAATGCAACTCCTCCCCAGCCTACGCATGGTAAAGAAGTGATTTCCCAAATCACAGCAAATGATTATGAGTGTGGGTTCACATAGGTCAGCTGCTTCGGTTTTTATTTTTTATTTTAATAATAATAATAATGATAATAATAATAATAGAAAATACTTTAACAATGATAATGAATGTCTAACTTAAGTCTTTATATATTTATCCAAACTCTAATCAATAAATTGACATAGTAGTTTCATTTAGGCATGTTCAACAAAACTAAAAGAACAAAAAAAGGACCAATACTAAGATAGATCACTTTCTTAAGTGATTTTTCATGTACCACCAATTTTATCCCATAGATTAATCTAAGGCTCATATTAGAGAGGTGTATTCTTCATATTATATATTTTAATCTCTTCTCTCACAATCAAATACTTGCGACAGTGCTTTTTCATCGTACGTTGTTGTTAGAGATGATTTTTGATGGTTACGGTGTTACAAAATTACTCGTTTTTCACTTATTCGCTCTCTTTCTTCTTTCCTTCTTCTTTTGTGGGTATGATTTTGATTTTCAAGTTTCTTGAAAAAGGAATGATACAAGTGTGGTGGAGACACGACACAACGCAGAGGAGTGCAACAAAGACTCAACGTGGAAGCACGAATGACACAAAGGGGTGAGTACAGACCACGATACAATGATGCAAAACATGGTTGCGAAGGTCTCCATTACGAACTGTCACACCATTTGTTGGATTTATAATCTCTAATCTATTTGTCTAATCTCAAATTGGTGCCTATGCTCTATCTTAGTCTAATATATGATCTTTGATCTATTTTCTCTTAGTCCCATGACAACTGTAATGGAGGTTGTAATGGCAATGATTATAACTATGGTGATGGCAACAACAAATATGGTGGTCGACAAAGGTTATTAATGATAAGGACTACGAGAAGAAAATAAGAAGAAGGGATCTAGTGTAAAATGATATGCACTTTTTTTTAATCCAAGGTTAATTGTGGTCCATGGTGGACCACTATAAAGATGGTTCATTTTAGAATTTGTGATGGAAATCTTAAGAGAGACTTGATTGAAGTAATTTCTTCCTTAAAGCTTTCTGGATGGATCTTTAACTTCTTGGACTCATTCAAACTCCTTCAATGGCTTCTAATGATGTTAGAAGCCATTTCTAACACTTAAGGAAAGGTAGGATTTCCCTTAGGTGACACCACACTCTTAAAGAGTGATAAGTCTGTGCAAATTCTCACCATACTCAAGAGAGGATAAGAGAAAAGAAAGAATTTTAAAAGAAAGAAACTAGCTTTGGGAGAGAATTTGGAGAGGAATTTCGTCCAAACCATGGATAATACTCAAAAAAATCACAAAATAGGTACAAAAATACAACATATAAAGTTTAGTTGACTTATAGTGCAAGCTAGATTAACCATGGTTAAGTGGAACCAGGGTTAGTTATCTTGTACTTAAGCTAACTAACTCTAGTTAAATGTTTACAAATTTAGTTAGTTATCTAGAAGCTTATGGAGCAAGCTAAGCTAATCATAGCTTAAGAATAACCTAGGTTAGCTAAAGTTAATTCCAACTACCTAACATAATCATTACAACTACTAGACTAATGATTACTTTTAACAAGTTGTTGACATGTCACTATTAAAGCCACGTGACTTAATTTGTAGCTTGGATGACGACAAGCTTGACATGGTTTGGACGTCCAAACTGCTTGCATGAGCAAGTGGATGTCAAACCTATGGGCCATAAGAAATATTTGGGTCATCCTAAGCTTAAATAAGTTTAACAAGACTTTGCTAGTTACACATCCCATAATCTACTAATTACACCCTCAAGTAATACAAAAACAAAATTACCTACACTACTTAACCCAAAATTCAAGGCCAAAAATATCCTAATACAATCACTATTAAAATGATTTACAAGTAAGAAAATGTATAATAATAATAATATGAGTTCTTTAAGGTAGGATATACCTCCAAGGTAGGGTACCTTACAAAATAAGGGTAAGTGTCCTACAATTCTTCAAACCATCTTTATCAACCTTCACCCTTCTTCAACTTATCTCTTCCAAAGGGATTCTTGGGAAATAGGTTTCCATTAATTTGTCATAAAAAAATAGAAAAAAAGAGTTAACATAAAAAGATGTCTAACTTTGATGGCAATTGAATCATTGTGCAATTAACGACAAAATATTAAAAATGTTTGTTGCATAACACTATTTTACATGATGAAACTATTACATGATTTCTGAGGAGTGCTAAGAAATAGTATTATCTAAACACAAATAATATTATGTTTTGCAACACACTCATTTAGATAAACTTAAAGATGTAAAGAGTTGGAATAGTATGTACAAAATTCTAAATTCAAACTTTGTTATTGTCATTGTAATTTTCACTTATCAAAATAAAAATATTATTGATTGAAATTTATTATAAAATACGAAAGTTTCACTTTTTATGTCTTTTCCAATTCAAGACAAAGTATGTTATAGAGTGCTTGAGCACTCATATTATCATGGAGGAATGTTATTGAC